TCTTTGTTTCAAGTGTGTAGAGAGACATACTGAAATCTTTGGAGCCAAGAGTTTTGAAGTAACCCCTTTTCACAGTGAGGGCCCAATCAGTGAGAAAGCCACAAAGGATGTGACAGGAAATTCAGTAAGGATTTTTGTGGGGTTACTTGGGAACATCATTTAGCAATGCATTCAGAACTGCTGCTTCAGCAGAAACTGATAAATGAGTACAGTAATCAACATCAGGAGAAAATCGAATTACTTTTCATAAAAATGATCCCTAATTCTTCCAGAAAAGGTAATCTATGGCATTTTTCAAAGAAATGCATGAATAAACCTTTAAAGTAATTATTTATGTAACAATACTTATATACTGCTTATTATATAGTAACATCTGTAAGCAGAAAAGCATGCAGTAATACTTTCGTAAGGAATTCAGACAGTGCTGGGGAAGCCAAAGGGATCACCCATGAATTTGTAGTTAAAAGTAATGATGCTTCTACTAATGTCTGAAATATCTTGACCAGGTCCTAAACCTCACTGGTTTGGAACTTGTTCAGAGTCTCCTATTCCTTCCCTTAGGGCAGAACAGCATGTTTGCTTTGCAGAAATCATGCTGTGGTGGGCATTTTTATAGGGACTTGGCAGGCAGGTGGTGCCCACAGAGTCTTTTCTACAAATGTTGCCCAAGCCACTCTCACTGCAGCTGGGCTCCAAGACCGGGACTAAGAGTTGCTGTAGGGAAATAGGCATGGTGGAAGCTTATGTAAGACAAGTCAGAATGCATGGGGAGTCTCAATAATCATTCTTCTTTCTACTGGTTGTCCATGATACCAGCTGCCCCATTTAAGCTACTTCCATAGGTGTGAGTTAGAGAATATGCATTTGCCAAGGCTAGTTAGGATGTATACTCGTTAGCTTCTATGTCTGCTGTATATACCAGAAGACCAGGAGTAGACCTGCAGTTGTAAAACCTTTCTGATAGCTATGTGTTGAGCAGATCATCAGTACTGGCCCCCATGTAATAGACGCCCCCATGTAGACTTTCCATCTAATCAAGGAACCTGCTCATTATTTGCATGCACAATTCTCTTTCCCCAGTAATTCCTTATAGGCTTTTTTCTGCCTAAACTTGCATATGATTGTACCCTCAATGTATGAATGTTGTGAGTGGAAACCAGAGAGCATGCCAGCAGGTGTGGAAAGCCACATGAAAAATACCACGTGTACTGAAGCTACTGAGTGAATGCTCCTAATATGTAGTTCTTGCTTTACAGCTGCATCAGTTCATATTTAATTTCAAATGTGAAAAGATGGTTTGGTTGGGCGGCTTCCCAAATCACTATGTAGTGACTTGGTTCACATGTAATGGCAAGTCACCATGGGTGAGTTTCCCGACAGAGCTTGCTGTTTGGCATTTTAAAAATTCAAGCCTTAATGTAGACTGCATCACAGTGTGTCATGAAGTGGAATCCTGACCTGATGGGTTGGTAGTTAACAGGCCTTCCAGAACTCATAGCCTGTTGTTAACAATCCCAACAACCCATCCTCACTGGCTTCATACATCACATCAACTTCAAACACAGCTTGAGTTTTCAAAATGGCAGCCACTGAGAAGCCCCAGGTGCAAATTCATTCACAGTAGCTTCCTGGCACTTTGCTGAATCAGGAATGAAAGCTGGTAAAAGGAGTTATTTAAGAACTTGTTAATGTTCTAAAGCAATCAGCCTGTGATAGATAAAATATTTTACCAGTCTGAATGCTAAACAAGAAATTGATTCTGCTGTTGGATGAGCATGAGTTTAGGTAAAATACCATTTTATTTTATGTATAGGTCCTGCCCTGCTTTTTTTACACCGATGGTAATCAGAATAATATCAGAACACAAAAAATAGATCAGAGTTGTTTTACCAACCTGTCCACACCATAGTAGCTCCCTGTGCCCCTGAAACTGTGTTTTGTAGGATCAGGAAGCGTCTGGACTCTGGACGGAAGGTGGAATAGACAGCAAATCGATAGGGGGAGTGTATGATGCAGTTGAAACAGTCTTCTGCTAGTGGTGTGCATCTTATTTAACCAAAACCCAACCTGCATCAGGCCACTTAAGGCTGTTTCTGGTGCTTCCCAAGGTGAAGCAGTCTTATCTCTTAAGGGACCAGAACTGAAGATGGACACTGAATGATGCTTTCTTCACAATTTGACTTTGGAACAGCAGACAGGGTGTCTCCAAAAATATTGCCTTCTGCTTTCATTTCTCTAATTCTTTTAAGACTGGGTAGTTGAGTGACTGACAAGTCCGCCTTTTAATCTCAGTGCATGTTTTACTGTTGTGCTTTGGGAGACAGGAAGGATGATATGGTGGTTGACCATTCTTCCAGTACTTGCAGAAAAAAGAAGCCCGAAAGTGACTTTCAGTCTTCATGACTCCTTAACCCTGCCCTAGCTCCTCCTGAAGCTTTTCAACTTTCTTGCCTGGAAATTGGTCAATGACACATACAGATTTCATACATGTACATTGCTTGCTTATTTCTTAATGAGACATCCCCCAATTCAAAATTTGTGGGGCAGCTGACAATAACTAATAAAAACACAGTCAAATATCTGAAAAGCTATGTTTTAAAAATGTCAGTAACAGGGGAGAACACATTAGCAGTTAAAGGACATAGATATATGAATAGTTTTGAAGAAATATAAAAGCGTTTTCCCCAGACATTAATAGGAGATGCTGAAAGGTTCTTCTTTTCTGTAAGATGCCAGTACAAGGGCAGGTTGATGTGGGAGTGATTTCTGGATTAGGTGGTGGGCTACATTAGTGCTGTAGAAAAAAACGCAGTGCTAATGGATCTTATGATTTATTTATTTATTTATTTATTTATTTATTTATTTATGTATGTATGTATCTATCTAACTACCTTCTCTTTATACCACCCATTAGTAAAAGGGAGTTGCACTGTATAATGCCACTTCAGTGTGAATAGCAGGATGGTCATTGCAGTTTACAATAACATTACTGTCAGACTGCATACACATAGCATTTACCCTTTAGTTTTCTTAAAATGCATGCAATTTTTAAATCTCCCCCCCTCTCTCTCCCTCCCCCCCTCCCCTCTCATTTTGTAAGCACATATAGCACCAGTCCAGATAGGTCTATGACTTCACAGGAAGGTTTAAGTTCTCCCCAATCCTGCTCTACCAAAATTCCACTACTTTACCATGTGGAAATTTTTGAAAGCTTTCTAGTGATGGGTCTGGCTGGAAATTATGGGAGCGACAGTCTAGGTATTCCAGAGGATGCCCGAAACCTATTTGAATTCTTATTTGGGACACCTTGGTTTTTGTTTTGTTTTGATGATCAGGAACTAGAGAATGCTAGCTGGATTTGAACTCTGCAATTTCCAATAAGGTGCCTTGTATGCCCTTTCATTTCAAGTCCTCTTTAGTTTCCCTGAGCATCTTTTTGCTGTTTGGTAGCATTGATTTTGCCTTGGACTGTGTGTATGTGGAAGTGCTTAAGTGTGTTTCCTTGGGCTGTGCCTCACTTTGAATTTCAGTTTAGCAGTAAGATGGTTGATAGGTCTGCTTTCTTGCAAGACCCAAGATGCATTTCCTGTATTCCATTTCCATTTTTTGAAAGATCCCCATCCTTTACTAGTCGAGTTGCTTGCTCTCCTCCTCCCCCACTGCTGCTATGGCAATTTAACAGGCATTTAAAAAGGGCTTTTGGTTTCTCTCAAAGATGCTAGGCAGTTTTGTATCTTATGGGCAGTGGTTTGGAGCTGAACGACTAAGATTCCTGAAAAACTTTCAGCTTTCTAAAGAAATGATAATGAGTTTAAAGCAATAAGGAGTGTTGGCCAAGATAGCATTATTAGTATTTCAACTTAAAATTATGACATTTAAACTTTTACTTGACCTTCCCCTCCTCCACACACACTTTCATTAGAATCACATTCCATACTTGGGCACTTTGTATCTTGAGTAGTGGGGAAATAACATACGATTAGGGAATTTTACAGAAAAAATAAATTGAATTCCTTCCTATTACTGGATGTAGAACCAAAGTAGAATCCTGGGCGAAAAATTAGACTTGATTTTTTTTTTTCCTTTGTAGCAGCTTGCAAATTGGAAGGACTTCCAGCTCCATTTGTATCTGGGGCTGAAAGAATAGAATTTCCTGCTATTTCATGTAGGAGGAAGGAAAGGATTTACCGCTCTCGAGTAACAGGACAACATAGTCTTAAAAAAACCCACCCTGAATAGATGCATACTGCTGCAGATGTAAACCTGAGAAGGCAATTACACGTTCCCCCTTTAATTTAAGCAGTGTAAGTATTGTGATGTAACACTTCCTCTGCCAGAAGGTATCTTCCTTACTTTAGTTTCCAAACTAATACCTAAAGTATTGTGCATGGATGGTGGGGCAATTACTTGGCAGTTTATTCCATTGTGCAAGACTTGTTGTGGGAGGGATTGCTGCTACGTAATTCCATAGCACTGCTTTCTCTTTCTCACTCTCCCACCATCTGGATTGAGTTAACTCACTCGGCAGTAGGACTGAGTCTCATTTCCGCCAACCAGTAATGTTATATAGGCAGTGATCCTGGCCTGCCCTAACATAATTGAAAATTATGTGTATTGTGGACTTGCAGCGCTGAAATGTAGACTCGTAAAAATCTGGGGCTCAGGTAGCCTGTGGAGATTGGATTTGGCATACAATGAAGCTTTTATGTAAAATAAGAATTATAAGCCACCACATTAATATTGTATTATGGCCATGACAATTCTTGGACTGAGAGACTTTGAGGCTTGAAGCTGTTGAACAAAGAAAATGTTTTATTCTTTATCAGTAGAGCTGGATCTTTTTTTTCTTCTTTTTTTCCCTCTTTTTGCTAAGGATGAGCTAGTAAAATCTGGGGAAGGGGGGATGGAACTGAGGATTCATTTAACATATTTTTCTCACAAAATGCATCCCCTTTCAACAATCTTCTGGGCTCCCATTTTTAAGGGTTTCTTTTTTGCAGATGGCATGTTGCAAAGAAAAGGTCACCCCACATACACTTACAGATGACTACTGGGCCCTGTCTGTACCTGGCATTCAGGTAACAATGGTGGCAGAACTCTGTTGCAAGTTTTTTTTTTTCTTTTTGGTTTGGTTTGGTTTTGTTTTGTTTGTTTCCTTTGCAGTTCCTCTGGCTGCAGCTTTGGCATCATTTGGGAATGTATGCAAAATAATCCTCTCCCTAATAACAGCAATAGTGACACATAGCAAATTTTGATTGGTATGTGATAACTCTACTGATGGCAAACAAAGTTTTGAGTGAGAGCAGCACCCTCATTTTAAACTCCTTTAGTTTGCCAGAATGATGCTGTAATGTAGCTAAATCGTATTGACTGTGTAATTACACTACTGCTGTTAGGATGTTATAAAAATGGTGGAAAAGCTGCGGCAAACAATATGGAAAAGTAAGGTTTTAGAGACTTGTGCAAAAGCCCCTTTATCAAAAGAAAAAAGTTGGCTGAAAATTATATTTGACATAGGAAATAATATCTGCAATTAATAGAGCTTTTTTATCTTGATGAAGGGAGTATTTTGCATGCCCTGATTTTTTGTGTATGTTTTAAATAACATTCAGTTAAGAGGTAACTTGATTGATTATTGCATAACGTTTCTGCCTCTCATGTTTTTTGCACTGAATATGCATATATAACAGTAATTCATAAAATTATTGTTCCCTATTTCTAGTAATACCATAGCTTTTTCTAATGGGAGGAGGAGGAGGAGGAGAATATTTTAGCATTAGATTCCATTCTGCCTCTTCTTCAGAACAAATCTAAGGATTTAAGTTTAAAACCACATAGGAACTAATATTTTAATCTGGTTCTTTCCATTATGAGATATTTTCAGATTACACTATTAAATTTGGCAGAATTGCAAACCTCGAAATCTCAGAAATCATTAGTCTCCTCCCGCCCTCCTCCAAAATAGCAACTTTTTATTTCCTTAAGCCTTTGAAGATAGATTTGAAGTGCAGTGAAATATTAATTGCCACAAGGGGAGAGTAAAGTCTTTGCAGGTTTTACTGTGGGTAACACCAAATCTGTCCCCACTGTTACACAGGGAGCCGGTCCTTTTCTGAGTGGCCCCAGCCCTTGTTGCCCATGTGTACCATACAAAGGGCTGCTGAAAGGGGGGCTTTGTATGCCCAGCTGCATGCATGAAGGCCTGTGTTGTTGGGATTTCTGTTTATAATGAGACTTCTGCAGATATAGCTGTACATATACAGCTATCCGAAAGAAGGGCTACTCAGCACACTGCATGTTGGCATAACTATTTTTTCATTTTGCCCACCCTAGGACTCAGGTATTCCAGTTACCAGACAGGGAGCTCCATCTATCTCTCTGCTTAGATAATTGACCCTCTCCTTAACAAACAAAACTAGAATAAATCATGCAGGTTAATTTAAAATATTGTTCAGATTAAATTAATTTGTATGTTTATTTCTTTCAGCAAGCAGGATTACTTTAGATTACCTTGCACTTTCCCCTGTAGTTTACATAGCCTAGATTATATTTGCCTGTAGCATAGCCTGCATCCCAATTCTACAAAGACTTATTCAGGAACAGGGCACCTTTTCTAAGGATTTGAAAATTCAAATTTAGGACTGCTGTTTATCTCTGTAAAATGTGCATTTCTGATAGGGAAGAACAGGGATCCCATTTTGCTGCTGCAGTTATCTTTAGAGTTTGATCCAATTAGATCATCTCCAAGCAGCAAGACCGGGTTTCTGTTTGTGTTGTTACTGTTTGGTTACTCTAGGAGGCACCCAGTAAGTCTGTATTCCTTTGTGTGACATTACTTAAGCCATTCTCTATGTGAATTCTGCTTAATGAGTTGCATGAGATATCAGTCTATTTAGCACCCAAGCGTTTCCCACCCTCCAGTGTTATTGGCAAAAGTGGCAGAGGTTTAGCAGAGGCCATTCTTATAAGAGCCCCAACATATGACCAGCAGCTTCACATTATGTATCTGTTGCTTGCTATGTCACTTCAGACCACAATATTTACATTTCTGAACGCCTTCCCAAGAAATGATTCCCTGCATAGTCAAAGCTAGTTTGCCCAGGATAGGGTTAAATTCTAGCCCCCTCCCTGAGCTGCTGCCGCTGCTGCTCAGAACTGACTAGGGAAATTTCCTGTGTAAATTCTGCATCTTGTCAACTGACTTCAGTAACTAGAATAACCTGAGCTGCAATTGTTGGAAGGACCCGCACCGTATTTCTCCCTGTGCATCATGGATGGGATTGTTTACTGAGTCTTAGTTAGACTCTGTGGTTTAAGCAAAGTCCTTTAAGGCTGGGAGCCTGCCTGAGAACATACGTTCTCCAGCCAGCTCCCTTTTTAGCTTAGAAGTGAGCAGTATGCAGATTCATGACCTCTTGATATGGATAGGCTAATAACTGAAATAAATTCCATGTGGATTATGTCACATTGCTATCCCATCTTTCAAGAAGCTCTGAGTAATTATATATCCCAACAACAACCCTGTGATGTAGGCTTGGCTAAGAGAAGGGAATATTTTCAAGGCTCTTGATTATGCTTTATAGTTGGGGTCAACTCTTCTCTTATTTTAATTATAATTATAAGTCTGTCTTTCTGTCTGTCTCTCTGTCTCTCTGTGTGTGCTTGTGTATGTGTGCGTGCGCACGTGTATGCATTATGCAGTGTTTTTAACCTGAAAATAAAGTGAGATTTGTATGCAACAGAGAAATGTTTTCATGTGTGTGCTTAGTTTTTATTGCAAGTATTTCCATTTACATTGTTTTATATTTTGCACATAGAAATTTTATGCTGTATTTTACTGTATTGTATTTTTACTATTGTATCAATGTTTATAAATTGTTGTAAACCACCTAGAAAGTTTTGGCTATTGTACAGTATTGCAATTAGTAATCATATTACAGACGCAGGGCTTTTTCTTGCATTTATTAAAACAAACTTGATCGCTTAGAGCTATATTTAATTCTGGCTCTCTGGCAAGTGTTTTTGTATGATATATATGTTTATCACATTCATTATGTGACAATTTTAGGTGTACACCCAAAGTATATCAGGTGTGCACCTTAAAAAATGCCAAGAGTGAAGCGGGCAGAATTTGGGGCACCAGAATTAGCTGGGGTTTTGTGTTAAAGGTATTCTCTGTGGCAGATGAAGGTTGATTTATACATAATGGGCAGTATCCTATGTTGCCTGTGTGCCATTGGGATCCATCACTAGTGCACTGGGGAGCTGATGTTTCATAAAGAACACAGAAACTTGCAGAAACATTCATTTCCATAGCGGGGCAGAAAGTAGCGCTGCTGACCTGTCCTAAAATGGAATGAGCAATTCTGCTGGTTTCTGGGGTTCATTTTTGTGCGTCTCACTGGCACAATGGTGTGAGTAAGAGCACCGCGACTATGTATGCAACTGCCCGTTATTCAAAATCACCCTGAGTGGGGATTTTAATTTTAAAAATTGCTCTGTTCTGAGAATCAAGAACATTTTTGTGGCACTTACGTAGATGGTGATTTGCCCTGCTTTTTGGTCTTTTTTGTTTTCGGCGCCACATTCTTTCCAGAGTTGCTTTAGCTGGCACTATGTGGAAGATGGCCTCGTTTGCATCCTATTCTTTCCCTTTGAATAACATGTATGGAAATGTTTACTTGCACCACTTTTGTTAAACATAGCCACAAAGAGTGTACGTGCACCTTTTGCTTTTATTTTACGTCGTTGCATACCTTTTATTTCTACCTCTTTCCCCATGTTGACCAATATTTGTGTGCATGTGTGTGTGTGCATGTGTTTTAAATAACTTCCTTTTCTGAACTCATTTTTCTTTTTTCCCCATTTTTGTTTCCTCCATCTAGTATCTCCAGATGAAATGGCCACTGCTTGATGTTCAGGCAGGGAGCCTACAAAGTAGGCAAGCCCTCAAGGACGCTAGGTCTCCATCTCCAGCACACATTGTTGTAAGTAAACTAAGAAGTGCTTCTGTGTGAGTGTGTGAGCGCATGCATGTGCGCATGTGTGCGTACATGCATGCCTGTGTGCGCGGAACGATTTAATTATTTTGTTTTGCTATCATGTCCTTTCTTCTTAGACAAGCACATCATGAAATTGCGGAAATAAGTTCTCGGTGTTGCTCTCAGAAGTATCCATGATATTCAAACTATATTTCTGTCACTGGAAAATTATAGAAAGTCAAAACTGAGCTTATGATGATTATGATTTGAAAAAAAAACCTGCTGAAACACTGCTGAAAGAAAGATAACATAACATAGGCAGCAGGTTTCTTACTTGTATTTAAAAATGCAGAAAACAATAAATTTGGAAGGAATTCCCCTTTCTTTCTCTTTTTTCTTTTTTTTTTTAATGATCCCAGCTTTTGGCAGCATGGCAAATTGATATAAAATGCATGCTGCATTTGAATACAAAAAGCCATTTCATCCTAAAAAGTACTAGGGATTTCTTTCTAACTTTGCAGGTAGTGTGTGCTTGTGTACCATATGTACATATTCTTGGTCAGGCCCTTATGTGGCCTCCAGGTGCCCCATGAGAGAAAGGTAGGTGGTGGCTGAAAGGAAGAGGGTCATCCCACTTGTGATACCTGCTTAAGGAATGTCTTCCCCAAGGTGGTTCACCTCTCACCTTTTTGGTCCCAGGTGAAAAACCTCCCCCCCCCCATTTTCTTCCAAGCATTTTAGAATTTAGTTTTTTAAGATTGCATAGCTGTTTTTAATATATTATCTTCCTGTGCAGTTTGTCATTTTGTTTTGGGTTTTATTCTTTTGACCTTTCTAATCCACCCATAGAACATATGCTCCAGGTTGGATTAAAATATAATACATGCATACATGCTTTTGTGGGGGCAGAATGACATTTTTTAAATACACGGTGAAATTGTAAACATATTTTAATTGTGCATCCCTCTTTACATGCTTCCAAAGCCTGTATGAACAAACCTGTTTATGCTTTATCTGTAACTTATTTGTTTCCAAACTTACCACTCTTTAAAAAATGAATTGATTGTTAAAGGATATAGTAAGGGTACTGGGTATGAGTCACCCAGCGTTAAGCAGTTCTATTGACTTGAGATGAAGAATGGTTAATTCTAATCAGCGGTAATCAGTGGAAACGTTAATCATGGTTCAACTTTTTTGGCTGATACCTATTCTTTGCTGAGCTAATAAACATGTGATATTGTCTGTTCCTATGCTATCCTCCATGTTAAGATCTCCAAGATCCTCCACTGAGTACCATCAGTGGAAAAAATACCTGTGCTTTTATTAAGAGGTCTTCTCAGTGATGACACCCCAACTTTGGAATGACCTCCCAAAGAATCTGTATTGGTGTTGGAATCTGTGATATTTTCCTTTTGACACCAAATTAAAATGTTCCTTTATGCCCAGACATTTTAACATTTAAGAATTTTAACACTTTAATCCTTGAAATTAATTAAACCTAATTCATTTTTAAGTTAATTGATCTATTTTTGGGGGTGTCCCCTTGCCTTTTAATTTGTTACAATACTGTTTTTATTTTATATTTGTTTTGTTTTTCAATGTTTTATGCACCAACTCAGTCTTACCAATGGATGAAGAATATTTTATGAATGTTACCTATTTTTAAAAGAAATAAAACAAACATAACTACTGGACATTATGCTTATACTTCAAATATCAAGGTAAACTGATGTTTAGGAAACCAGGAAAACTTGCCTGCAGCCAGGTGTGTAACAGGAAGTAAAAAAGAATTGGAGAAGAGTGGGTTATTCTCAAGTATTTTACTCATTTCAGTGTCAAAAAGCTGTGGCTTGTTGGAGCAGCCTATATCTGGTTTGAGCTATTGCATACCTTGATTTTACATTTATATTAATGTATATCTATAGCATCAATGTAATTCGCTTTTATAATTAACATAGCATGACAACAAATATTATAGAAAATGACAGCTATGGATTTAACAAGGGAACTACTTGAAAAAACTTATCTGCATCCATTACTGGTAAAGTTGAGAGTCAATGATGAGATTAAATAATGGTGCACATAGCCCTCAATATGGCAGTCTTAGTCCTTCCCATCTCCACTCATCAGAGCATTTGGCACCAGAGGGCTGGCATGCTCACCTTACATATTCCAGCAGTAGGGATGAACTGTGCCCGTGAGAGAAACCTGGATGCTTTCTGCCTCATGTGAAGACAATGCCAGGAGCCAAGATGTCCACAGAGGCATAGTGAGGTGGTAGAATGGTATGCTTTGGCTATCTCCATTCCACTACTCACACTTGCCACTGAATGGCCATGCCTTGTGTGCATTTGGCCTCTGTGGCCTGCTTCGGTCAGCATAATGTGCTCCAACCCTGTTGTTCTCCTTGGTTGCTACCACTTCCTGGTCACAGACAGATTTGCTGTGCCTTGCCTTACAGCAGGATTCCCCCAGAATTCTAATGATTGATTGACGCATGCTAAATGTAACACATGTTCTGCACCGTCCAAAAGAATCAGTAATGAGGAAAAGATACAGAGCAACAAAGACCCCAATTTGGCTGGTCAATATAATGATTGAGTCAGACCTGAACCCTTAACTAGAGGCACTGACCTCAAAGCTAGAGACATTCCATTCCATGTATCAGTACAGCAGTGAGTGTGCATGGTTCCCCATGGAACTGATTCTCACCTGGAAAGGAGTGCTTGAGATAAATAGGAAGCAGACGACAAGTGGAAGAAAGCTGGGAGGGACAGACGAAGCAAGTTGCCTTGTAAAGCTGATATGGAGGAGACAGATGTTAAGGGAGGAGAAACTCACATTTTCAAGCCAATTTCCTCCATTCAATAAGTATCTTGCTAAGATTCTTTTCTTTTTTTAATAATGGAAATTGAATTAACTCCTTGCCATTTGTAAGTATGACCTATTTGCCTCACTATAAGAACCAGAAAGCAGTTGTTTTCCAGGAAGGTCTGATATAGATCTACTGTCGGATTTAATTTTACTGCGAGATTTTTTGAGGAAGGACTGACTTTACTCTGTTCGGTATAAATATCAACTGTCCTGGCAGAAGAAATGCACAGTGTACTTGATATGGAAGGCTACCTTCCAGAAAGGTCCTAGTTTACCTTTGAAATGTGATATTCAGATTGCTTGGAGTCTTTTATCCTTGGAGGGGTTCAATGAAATACCAGTTTAGGTGGATGCAAGTAAATGGAATTAAAGGTGTGCGTGCATGCAGGGGGGGACGGGTCAGGGATGATGACTCGGAAACAACCCCCTGCAAACTGAGAAGCAAGGGAAAGTATTTAAATACATGCTTACACTAAGTGCTCTATCAAAGCAGCTATTAAAGGTTTTTCTTCATTGTCATCATACTTAAATGCTGTTATTCCATTGAGTTTTACTTAAGGTTAGAGAATCAATATGCAGAACAATTCTATAGGTACCTCATTGTTAGCAAGAATCATATTAGCTGGTCACCTTTATGGTTAGCCTGAGTGTTTTGAAGAAGGTCTGCAAAGAGAACATGGTGGTAGTTTTTTCAAGCCAGGTCTGACCTTCTCATTACTTAGTCCTCTGTGTGTGGGGGTGCCTCAGCTTGGCTTGGGTCACGGAGAGAGCCTTCTCCTAATCATTCTGATACAAGAGAAGTCCACCTTGTATCCAGACTTGGAAGCCATCAAGAACATCCTGAATTGCCTCTAAGCCTTGACTTGTTAACATGTGTGGGAAAATTAATACATATCAAATCAGAGGTAACATTCACTGAATTCAGTGAGACTTATTTTAAATGACTCTTCAGAGTAAAAGTAATTACATCCGATTTTAACTACCAGCATTAACTTCAGCAGTGAAGTTAAAATATGTCAGAACATGCTGCTTCTGAATAAATGTAAGTAAAATATAACATGCTAAACGTGTCAAGGCAGCAATCCAATGCATGCTTGAAAAAAAAACCTGAAAAATTCAATGTGTCTTACTTCTGAGTAGACATATCTAGATCTGTATAACAAGTGTTGGACCCAGGTAGTTAACAGGCACTCTTATTCCATTCCCCAGGAGATGTTTTCATTCTACTAACTGATTCTTTCTGAGGACAGAAATAGATAAACCCCATTTGCCTGCATCCTTCCATGTTACCCTTAAACCGTTCTGAAGGGTTCCCAAACTTCTGGAGCAGATTTTCAGGAAGCAGGCAAGAAGAATCTTTAAAAATTGCCTTTCCCCCCTTCTACCCATGAGAGTGTCCAATTAGTGGGAACTGTATGCAAGCATGTCTGGATCCAAACCTAAGAAAACAATGTATAAAACCTGTTTTTTTTCCCTTTTTAATTATTTTGAGATGTTATAATAATTTAAGCTAGTCTAGAATTTAAAAAATCAAAAATTATTAGTAATTCATTGGAAACATTGTCATGTAATATTGAAAGAATGAGCAGTAACAAATACCTCACATTTCTCATGGGGGGAAGTTGTAAATTGCATTGTGGTTGTTATGTTTGGCTACTAATGTATGTAGTTTATATAATACATTCCAGGATTGAAGTTTTAGGTCTTCTCTGAGCCCTGAATGAAGGCAAGTTATATTAAAAATATTTGTAATGTTTTCTTCCTTACTTTGGTAAGAGCTGCAGTTTTTCTTACAAGTAAATATTCTGAACTCAAAATGATTGGGTGAGATCACAGGATTAAAGAGCTGAGACCATTCCCAAGGTACACCTCTGTCTTTTTGCTATACAAAGACTTGCATTTAAGTTGCTTTGTACCTGGCAAAAATCATGCCATACCAAAAATAGTGTTTTGGTAACACACACATCTTATAAAGGCATGAAACTCTTCAGAGATTCCTCTGTTTTTTTCCCCTATAGGCAAGACTTTTGAAGTCAGTGTAAACCTTATCTTGGGTGGGTTTGCAATATACAACTGCCCTGACTTTCTATTGTGTAATGAGCATATTCATAAACTAGGTTGGAACCTCAGGG